GCTGAGGGACAGAAAGGGAGCGCTTCTGGGTGCAGACTCGAGTTCGAGCAGGAACAGGGCCACCGAAAGATGGGAGAGTAACGCTGTGCGTTCCTCCCTGTTTCAGTGAGCGCAATATAAACTGGATAAGCATCTGCAGAAGCACAAAGTTGACAGCAGGCCGCTCACTCTCAGTTGAGCGTCCTCTGGCAAAGATGGACTGTTACCGTGGTCTTCTACTCTCTGACCCAGACAATAAATGCATGTTCCCCACAGACTGGAAGAGGCTAGGGAGACACACCAGGAAATCCCCCCCTACTCCGTAACCGCCTGTGCGTAGAAGATGAGGGTCTGAACCCTTACAGGCTGGGTAACAAACCAGCCCCTGATGGCCTACGTCCTGGGAGACGTCTCCTATGGATAGGCATCAGCCGAGTGGGGGTTTCGGAGGTTAGCAGCTTGGGTTTACGATGCCTAAAGGGAGTATCTGCACAGATCTAGGACAGATCTAAGCATCTGGCACTGCTTTTGATCTTTCCCACTCTCTTCCTGCATTATACTGTAGTTAACTTCTGACTATTTTGGTTTTTTGTGCATCCTTCTGGCCATTCCATGGACCCCTGTGAAGCAGGAGCTGGACTCGATGATTCAGAAGCTACTTTAGAGGAAAGAATCAAGCAGTGAAGTCCTCTGCTGGATCTAGCTCTCATCCTCTAGTGTTCTCATCACAACTCTATGACTCTTCCTGATCCAAAATACAGAACAAAAATGGCAAGAAGGGTGTTTTCCTTTGAATGGGGGCAGTAGCTGCATTCCCATCAGACCTCGAAGCGGTAGCAACAGCAGGTTTTGCTATATGATGAGAAGCTGAAGGATGTTGCTGCAATATTGTGCTTAAAATTTGGAATAGCTGAAAAAAGTCTGGCAGATTGATTTGGCAAGTTCCTGAGGATAGGATGGAGATAAAGAATGAGTACTGCTAAGTGCAGGTCAGTGACTGTACATTCAAAAGTGTTATGAATTATCAAGGATATGGCTAAATAAAAATGAATTATCAACTGAGCTAATGGAAGAGAAAAAGAAACTGCTATTCCATAGATCCTATGTGGAGGTCACCTTGGCTTTCCACTCACACATGAATATTCACTGACTTGGAATTGATCCGGCCTTAATCTAGATTTATTTACAATGAGGGTCTCGGCATTTCTTACAAATGACACACATTAGCTCATCACACAGAATATACTGAAGGCGGAAGATGTATCTGATGGTCCTGTGCCTCCTTGAGAACAGTTTTCTATTTCTGAAAATGAGTCGGCGTGTCACCGAGAGGTTTCTTCACAGCAAACAACAACAAAACAACCAAGCAAATCATCCACATCCTCTGCTCTCACAGCCAGTCACAACTTCAGACCCGGCTACGACTGCTCCATTGATACGTTTTATCAAGAGATCCAGGGTTGTTGAATCCAATCTTCGTTATAGCAATGAAACTAACTCCGTCAAGGAGGATACACTATCAGCAGGTGATGCACCTGTATAAATAATTACAGGATTAATGCATCTTTCCCACATAGTAATTTACATCGTACAATCCCATTGACTTGAATGTGGAGTTAGTCCAGATCCTCACGACCGTGAGGAAGAAGAAAGGCTGTTCCATCACTCTAGGTATCTGCTTGATAAACACATGGATCGATGACAACATAGAGAGGGATTTACAAAAACATTTGTCCTCGGCCTGCTTCAAAACCCCTATTGACAGATTGCATTCATACAATCATGTTAAAAAAATCAGGGATGAAAAGGAGAACATCATTTTAGTATGGCTTTTTTTTTAAACACATGGCAAAACTGCAGAAGACTGAAGGCCTGCTAGCGAGGAATCGCTCTGCTGACTTTGCCTTGCCTGTGTGTTCTCAGCTCCTTAATTACACGATCACTACACATAGGGTTGGTTCAGAAATATCTGTGAGTACTCATTTTAAATGTGCAAACAGCATCTCGAACTTCAGCGTAATGTTTCGGCTTCTAATCATAAAGCAACCACCAGAAGAGTTTTCTCCCTTTTCTTAACCTGTCACAATTTGTGGGGCTTTTTGCTGCCTCTTTCCC